ACCAGCAAGGAGAGGTGACAGTGACTCAGTGGTGGTGCCGGCAGTGGTGCCAGTGCTTCTGGGGCACGTCAGACCCTGTACTGCTAACCCACTCTGCCAGCAAGATGCCTGTGTTAGCTCAGGGATTAGCCCTGCTGTCCCTTCTACATTTCCTGCTGCAGTTTCGGTTGAGGATGGGACAGTGTCCCAGGGGCAGCCCCCCCCCCGGCCGGTTGCACCCATGCCAGGAAGGAACTGCAAAGCCACCAGGGAGGAGCAGCTCAGCCTGGTCCTGAGCGCACCCAAATTTGCCCCAGAGCTCCTAATCTCACTTGGCTCAGCCCCAAGCTTCTTCTGCTTGGAGCCTTGGTGGTGCAGCTAATCCCCAGTTGGCTCAGGATCACGCTAGGTGCAGTATCCCCCCACCACTCTCAGGCTTTGCTTTCCAAGGGGCTGCTCTGCCCATCCTCTCCTGCTGGCATGGCACAAGCCCCATTTGTCCCCTCCCTGCCCCATGTTCTCACTTCTCAGCCAGTATCACTGCCCCAGGGGAGCCATGAGCTTGTCTGTGCCGGGTGGAGCTAGGGCACAGCATCCCACTCGCCGCTGTCCCTTATTGCCACGTGGCACCCATGTGATTCATCAGGTGTGGCTTCGTTTCCGTCACCCCACTTTGCAGGAAGTTTCTTGGCCAGCCCCATAGGTGCCCTGAGCAATAACAAGCCAGGATGAGCTGGCCGACCTTCCTGAGAAACCCTACAATAACAAACTGGCGCTATGTGTCCAGCTTTCCTGGATGGACAATAATAAACCAGCATGAGCTGGCATGCCTCGCAGCGCAACCCTGCAATAATGGAGCTGGGTGATGTGTCCACCCTACACAGTGGCACGCTGGCATGAACCAGCCAGCTACCTTGCCAAGAGGGGTCCCCAGGAAAAGCTGGATGCTGGGCTCAGGGCTGGCACATGCCTGCAGCCAGCATGGAACTGGGTGTGCCACAGCAGCCCCTTGTCCCTGGTGCAGCTGTACCATCGCCTCACCGACTCTCCTTTCCCCTGGATTCGTCCCTGGGACCTGGAAGAGCAGCAGGAGGGCAGGGCAGGGCAGGACCCCAGCATCCCCACTACCGTGCAGCAGCACAATGCGCTGCATGCTGTAATCCAACCCGCGGGAACAGCACAAGGGGAAAAGAAAAGCGTATTGAGCAGCGGGCCGCTGCGGTCACTAGGCTGCATAGACTGCTGGTTGTTAAGCGGGTGCCTCACTCGCAAAGGCCGCCTTGATGAAGTGTGAGACGGCACTTACGGAGGGACGCGGGCAGGCATTCTCGCTCCATCTTCCGCTCACAGTGCCGCTCTTTATGCGCCTGACATTTGCTTGCTGGAAAGGCCTTGAAAGTAGGGGGAAAGGAAAACATCACCCACAGCAGGGCCATGAGCATTGCCGGGAGGAGTGTGGGGCCATGCCAGGCTGTGCCGTGCCGTGCCGTGTCAAGCTGTGCCAGGCTGTGTCTCTTGGCCGCCCTGGCTTTGCCGCCTGCTGTTCCCTGGGGTGACCCCATCACCTCTATCACCTCTCTGAGCTCCGGGCTGCCTTCTCCAGCCGGCACAGACGCTTCCTGCCAGGTGTGTGCAGTGCTGGCTCCATGCCGGGGAAGCCCTGGCCATCCTACCCTTCCTGCACCGTGCCAGCGCCTCTCCTAGCTGCTGCTGCTGCATGCCTGCATGGGATGAGGTGCTGGGGACGTTGCAGGGTCAAAGCTTGGGCACATCCCTCTGTTGTCCCTACCCTTGATCCCAACCAGAAGGCAGCAACTCAAATGTGTCCTCCCACAGGTAGGACCCTTTGCTGGTGGCACAGACCTGTGCTCTTCTCTGCTTGTCCCAGGGTAAATCTTTGGCAGCACAAAGCCTGCAACAGGGAGGGTGGTAGCAGCCAAGCCATGAGGCACAGCAACGCCCCAGCCATGAAGCCATTCTCCTGCCCACCACAGGCTGCTTGCTGCAGTATCACCAGACTTTGCTATGTCAGTGCAGTGCCAGCTGCCATGCTCATCCTGCTCCCAGGCCACTGCTCCACTACGCTGCTTCTGCAGATCTGCTGTTGGGGCCAACCCGGGAAAGCCTTCCACCCCCCCATCCTCCCCCTGCGGCACACACCCCTTGGCTCCTGGCCCCTGTAGGAATTATTAAGTGTGCCCCTGTGGAGCATGTGCTGAGGCTGGCCACGGGAATGTGGGCAGATCTGACATACAAGCCACAGCAGCCAGGCTGTAATTTCCAAACAGGCCCTGTTCACTCTATTTTCCAGTTAAAAATATATTAAAAAATAGGAATGTGGGGTTTGCAGTGAAGAATGTTGGTAACCGCTTCGAACGTCTGGTGTGATAATGAAAGGGTCAGTCCCCAGCTTTGAGCACGACCGATTTAGACTCTGGTGCTTGGCACGAGCGTGGGGGCCCAGTACGGCCCCTGCATCCTGCAGCCCTGTGCCAGGGGATGGTGACGCTGCTTCACCCATGGGTGACATGGCCAAGGGGACATCCAAAGTCCCATCTCTTACGGGCCCTTGCAAAGGGAGTGTGGGCAAGGATGGGTGAAGGCAGGGCGATGGGGATGAATGCTGTGTCTGGGCTGCATCTCCTTGTGAGCTGTCCTTTCTGAGCACAGGTGCAGTGCCCTAGCCCCCCCTTCCCGGGCAGCCCCCCCAGCTTGGCTAATCGCAGTGTTCAGGCTGTGCTACTGAGCATCCCGTGCCGGTGCCGCAGCCTTGAGCAGCTCCTGATACTGGGGCACGGCTCTTGGCCTTGCGGGCAGGTAGTCATAACATGGGGTGACCCCCCCCTGCCAGCTCTCCAGGCACCGCAGTGGGGGAACCTGGCCGGCACCCCTTGTGTCCCGGTTCCCACAGAGAAGTAATCAGAGAAAAACAAAAGGCTCCAGCAGCCAGGGCTGAAGCCATGCTGGGGACAACAGACTGGCTGCAGCAGGGTTTGGCTCTGCAATGTGCTGAAGCCATGGGGCAAGTAGAAAGGAGATGTCACCCACAGCCACATCTTGTCTCTCTACCTGCCCCTCTGGGGAGACCTTCTTGTCCCTCACATCCTCCGGGGCCATCAGGTGGCCACTGGCTGGCACAGCACACTCTGCTCCCCGCTGAGTCACAGCTCTATGGAGAAACTCTTCCAGCTCTGCTCATAAATTCATTGATTTCCCTTCAGGTCCATGCCTAGCAGCTTCCCATCCCACCCTGCCCAATGGCTCAGAGCTTCCTGCTGACTCCCAGATTCCAGCCCAGGCTTTCAGCAGCCCCTTCCCAGAGCCACGGGCCCTGTACCTGCAGCCCTGACTGCTCCCAGGGATTGCTTAGTGGCAGGGGACAGCAGCAGGGTGCTGGCACCAGCACCAAGTGGCTGTGCAGGGACTCCCCTGTCCCACAAGGGCACTGACCCACACAGTGCTATCTGGTACACTTTGCTCACTCTGCTGCCGTTCCTGGCTTTCCTGGGAGCTGCTGTTTGCTTTTCTCTGAATTATGACTCCAGTTCATGCCTTTGATCTAGGCTGTATCGGCCACCCGATGCCAGCCCCTCTGCTGCCTTTGAAGTACAGTCAATCTCCTTCCCAGCATTGGACACTGCTTTTGCAGCCTCAGGAGCAACCCTGGCCCTGGGGGTCTGAGACATCTAGTGCGAGAGCTCCCAGGGATGTCCAAGGCACTCAGCATCCCTCATCCTCCCCTGGATCTTAGGCTGTGCCAGCATTGCACAAAGCCCAGAGGTGGCAATGCAGGGTGGTGAGCAGCCCCAAGGATGCTGTAGGGCTTGGACCAGAGCACTGCTGTCTCCTTTGGCAGTGGGCAGGGACACAGATGCTGGCCAAAAAGCAGGCCCCAATGACATGTCTGTCCTGCAGCTAAGAGGTCTTCCATGCTTTCTACTCCAGCAGGAAGTCTGAGAGCTGTGGAGAAGGTGCCCTTCTGGACACTATCACTGCCCTCCCTTCCTAGCACAGAGTGCCAAGGGTCTTTGCCTGCCCTCTCTGCCCTTGGGATGCTGTCCCAAGCTCTGGGCTCTGGCCTTGAGTGGGTCTGAGTGTCCCCATCCCCTCCCCGCTTCCCCATCCTGGGGAGGAATCAGCCTTATCTGTTACACTTTGTTCTCCTGCTGTTTGGGTGTGGAGCTGAGCAGAGGTTACTGCCGGACCTTTGACACACACACATACATGGAGACACAAACAGCCCCACGTGCATCCCTAGCTACACTCATCACACATGCATACACCTGCACATGTGTACGGCTGCACATCACTGAGCAACCCCCCTCAGATGCATTTCCCCAGCCCTGCACGCACACCTACTTTCCTACACCCCTTCATAGCTGTTGTGCCCTAGGCATCCTCCAAGGTCCCTGCACATGTTGACACAGCCCTTATGCTGAGAGCAGCATCCCTCAGCGGGCACGGGCATGAGGGGGATTTCTCTGCATCAGCACTGGATGTGGCTTATGCTGCTTGTGCAGGCATCGCTGCACAGGAGACTGTGAAAAGGCAGGGGCTCCTTGCCCCCCAGTGTGCCTGGGGTCCTGCCCATGCCAAAAGCTTTTGTTCCTTATCAGCATGCCTCCACACTGCTTCTGCTGGGGAAGCCACAGCCCTTCCCATGTGATCTTATCTTCAGCAGCTCATGAATGACCATGCGAGCAGCTGCCCTGACCTCTGCCATCTTCCTCTTAATGGGAAGGCAGAGCAGGTGTGCAGCTGTGTGTGTGTGTGTGTGCCCATGTGAGCATGTGCATGCACAACTAGGGAGCATCTGCATGCCTGCAAGTGGTGGTGCAGCACCAGGGCAAAACCATGTTGTGGTCTCCATGGTGAAGCGCAGAGTCCTGCAGGTAGGCACACACAGCCCCTTCCCTGCTGTCCAGCACAAGGCAGGGTGGTCTGGCAGGAGCTGGCTGCTCCCGGGGCTGTTCCAGACCCTGATGCTGGCAGTGGGGTGACTGTCTCTGGCCTCTCCACAGAGCCTGCCCCAAATCTGCAGTGCAGGAGATGGACACGCATTCACCTCTGCTCTGCGGCAGCTCTACATGGCAGTGACGCTGCAGGAGGCCAAACAGGCTCGGAAACGGCATCACCCAGGTGAGAAGCTCCTGGCTGGGAAGTGGGGGAATGTGGAATACTCCTGGGTCAAGCCCCCTTCCCAGGGGAATGGGAATGAGGTCCTGGATGCAACCAACTCCCCTTTGCTTTGAGCTGAGCTCCCTTTGTTCCCAGCGTGGGCTTGGGTGATACTCTGTGTTTCCTCAGCTCAACCCCAAATTGCATCTCTCCCTTCTGGCACCAGAGGACACTGAAGACCTGGCGCCTACTGCAGAAACCTCAGGGCACCCCGACCCGGCGCCCCAGTCGCCAGTGGACGAAACAGCATCTTTGAGCAAGGAAGCCACGGTGAGCACGATGCTGGGAACAGCCTGTTCTTGCCAGCAGAGGGATGGGGCTTCATGCACTGGCAGGGGATTGAAGCCAGCTGTTGCATGCTCTGCTGCCCTCAGTGCCCAGCCTTTGTGCAGCCCAGCCCTGTGCCCCACCAAGGTGGGCCGGTGGGCTTGGGTTGATTTCTAGCACATCCCACTCCCTGTATACACTGACTGGGAGACACACGGGCTTGTTGCACACACGTACTGTTGCACTGCCCCATGGGGTATCACTGCTCCCATTTGCACCCATCCTGCACCAACCCCCCCAGGGGGCTGACATTGCCTCCCCTTTGCTCACAGCCGACCTCCTCCCCTGTGCAGAAGCCCCGACTACCTGTGGCCAAGGCCAAGCCAAAGAAGGCAAAAGGGCTCTTCAGCTGAAAGGTTGCTGCTGCTGTCCTGAGGGTCTCTGTCCCACAGCACCTAAGAAAGGCTGTGTGGATCACCACATGTCCTATGCCTCATCTGCATCTCCCTGTGGATTCTTCTGGGGTCATTCCCCACTGCCGAGGAGACGGAATTTCTTGTCCACCTGTTTATATCTCAGGGAATTCTTTGTGCTTCTGCCCAGATGCAGATCCCAGGCTGCCTATGCGGAGCTCGTGCTGGACCTGGGGGTAGTGGGAGGGATGCTGCCGTGTGTGTGCCCAGACAGAAACTGCAGGGCTCTGGTGGGGTGTTCCTTTGGCTGGAAGACAAAGTCCTGCCCTTTGCAATAAAGGTCTGCATCTGGGTGATGTTCCTTCTCCCTCTGCTCTGCCCCTCCTCAGCCCATGGTGCTGAGACAGGGGTGCAACCTCTGGTGCAGCATATTATAGATTCTCTCTGTATTCAAAGTATAATTTCTACCCCCTCACACACCGTCCATCCATCCATCCATCCATCCATCCATCCATCCATCCATCCATCC